GCAACGTGGTGACGTCATTCGGGGCGACTGGAATCGATAAGGGAATCGTTTGCAAAAATGGCAAAAAATTCCAAGGAATTGAAACAGTGGGAACTGGTTCTCAACAAGAACCCGGTTTTCGATACCCATCCCTAATTATGAGTAAATATAATGTCCATTTCCAGTGAAACCATCCATGCCTGAGACCACAGCTCTTGGTGCAGCGATGGCAGCAGGAGCAGCAGAGGGGGTGAGCGTTTGGAGTCTGAACCCCGAGGACCTGAGCGAAGTGACGTCAGAGAAGTTCGAACCTCAAATCAACCCCGAAGGTACGTTGGGCTGCTGCCAGAGCTCTGGCTGGCTGATGAGATCAGATAATACTTAAAACATGTGATGCTTAAAAGTAAACACACTTATCTGTGTTCTACAGAGAGCGAGTTTCGATATGCTCGGTGGAAGAAGGCTGTTGAGAAATCCATGAACTGGGAGACGATGGAGCCTGTTTGCAATGGAAACGGTGGGAAGCACTCACAGCTCAGAAAAGGTTTAAACTCTAAGACGAGGCCTTAAATCAAAACAAAGTGAATGACACTTAAATGCACCTCAAACACTAAAAGACGCATTCATGTATTTTGACGCCTGTCGTTTAAAAAAACGTTGCTGCCCTGATATTACTGATAGGTGATTTTAGTCAAAACATTATGAGTTTATCCAAGGCTCATATCAATCTGTAATCTGGTGTAGTCAAATTAGGTGATTATTATGCTGTATGGGGATGTTCTTCTGTTGTTATCAGAAGAACATCCCCATTTGTGTCACTGACACTATCATGCAGCTCTGTGCTTGCAATGAATATTTTTAAAATATTGTTCCTGAAAAACTCATTTATATGTTCAAGAAGCTAAGATAAAATGCAGTACTGTGCAAAACTCTTGTACTATGTTGAGGTCCGGGCTCTGGGGTGGCCAATCCATGACTGCTTGGGTTTTACTGTGCGTTTTTCTATCTAGGTATGCTTTTCCTTTATCAGCAGTGTGTTTGGGATCATTGCCATGCTGATAAATGAAGCTGCTGCCAATCAAAGCTTAAAATTGGTTCTTTGAGTAGACACAACACTGGTTCATCCCCTGAGTTAGCTTTTTTTTTTTTATGCCTGAATGATTTATAGGTCGCAACAAACAAAAAGCATTCCTCTGAAAATAGGCAGGTACAAGGACTGGACTGAAAATGAGTGAAAAAGCAACCAATGTCCAAAGAGCACCTTTGAAAGACCTTGAAAAATTCTGGAGAACTGTTGCTCAACACCGCTTTAAGAAATGAAAAGAAACTCTGGGTGGATGGAAGCAAAAATCACACTATACTGATTCTAAGATATCTATGTTTATTCCTAAATAATGTTACAACATATATTTATATTATTTGAATATATTTAATATATTTATATTGTTCAACTTTGACATCTAACATATGTGTTATATTATTATAGTCAGTATTGTTCTGGTAAATTTACCAGTATATGGATCTTTACCTGAAACCCAAGCAGCGCAGGGGTTTGGTAGTATAAGGAAATGACAAGTGGATCAAAGTAGTGTATATTTTCCTATGTTACTACAGTGTGCAGAGGTAGAGGCCATTTTGACTTGTTTTTAGTTTGCTGCTCAGAATCATCGTCTCTCTTCTTCTCTGTTCCACGCTCGTTTCGTGGAAAAGGTGAAACCAGTATCTTCAGCAGCGTCCCGCTTGGCTTCTACATCATTGGCAGCATGCTGATGTTAATCGGAGCGAAATACCTCACAGGTCAGTATGTCTACTCTATACTCACACGTGATGCCAGTGTTTACGTGTGTCACAGGTGGAGCAGATGTCTCGGGCGCACAGCTCCAGTTGCGAGCACAGAAGCTCCACCTACCTGTTGTTTGCATTCACAGGAATGTTAGCTTAAAGGGAGGGTAATGGCAGCTAAAAAGGCTTGTTTCAGTCAGAGCATGAACTGATGAGGTGAAGCAAGTTCCAGGAAATGAAAATTATTTTGAACAATGACTCATTAAAAACTGCTCTGGTATAGTGACAGAATAAAAACAAGTAACTGAGGGTGTTGTAGGTAAACATTGCAGGTTAAACATGATGAACTTTTTTGGAAACAAGTTTCCAAAGTTGCTCAATTAAAGTTCCGATTTCCTAACTTGACAACTATCACTCTACATAATAAAAAGAGCTCGTGTTCCACCCTGTTCATAGTTGTAGTGCCAGCTGTTCAGATTTTTAAAAACAAATTACCTTTGCAAGCATTCAATTGGAACAGTTTGACGTTAGGTGAGCTTTTGTGTTAGTAAGGCTTTTTAACAGTGTAATAAGTACTATTTGACAGCTCTAGTGGAGAGTAAACCTTTCTCAAAATGAAATGTGTGCCCCTTTGTTACTTTTCTTTCAGGCCACAAGTAGACTGCGATTTCTGGAGGCATTAAATTGACGTGGGTGGGGGGGAGAGGAAACAGGACCAGCGCTTGTGCTCTTGTTGAAATCTTACCCAAAAATCATTCCAGAGAGAGACACAGACCTCCTGCTGAGCCTCACCGCCGAGTACGAAATCAGGACAACTCTGACTAACGGGACACCTTCAATATCATTTTCATGGTTATTTAATTTTTAAAAAATTATATTTGTGGCAAAGAACACATCAGTACGGTATCCATTAATTTTAGCAGCATTGCACATGCAGTGTTTCCTTTTTTACAGGGTGATGCATTTCTGACTATTTATGTAGATACTTGTTTATGTGTAAGTGCGAGATGCTGTCTAATTTGTTTGTCACTAATAACCTTGAACTGTCTAACCCTCAGACCCTCCACGGTGAGCTGCAGGAACTTTTTTAGAGCACTTTATAATTTTTTTTCTTTGTTTTTGCTTAGACGATCTGTCCTAACGAGTCTTTGTATGATGTATATGTATTTTTTCTTGTTTTGAACAGTTGGGATTAAGACGCAGAAAGTTTGAGGTAGTCTGTAGTAAAACTGAAGGGACAGGTGGGACATGGTGCACTGACGGGTCTGCTTTTAGTGAAAGTGAACCTGTACATACTTGATCGGTTGTTTAAAAACAAAAAGTGGGAAAAACGCGATGCAGCGAAGGATGGGAACTGGATATCCGTGGAAGTGCAGTGTATAAGGAAAGCCGCACATGCATATTCTTACACCAGGAAACAAAACGGCAGCAGCAGGTTGTAACTTGTTTACCGTTCAGCCCAAAATGGATTCAATGTGTAAGCCTAGTCATGGTTGACAAGGTCGGTTCACCCTGAGATTCATCTGTGATCATCAGATTAAACTGGTACGCTCATTTTTGGGTGACACCTGCTTTTTGTTGAATGTACTGGA